TACAAAAAGTCAAAAACCCCACAGGTTAAAAAAGTAAACTAAAGTTTATTTTCATAAATTGTCATTGTTTTATTAATGTCTGATTGTTTTTTCCTTTTGCTTAATTGCAAATCCACGTTTAATGAAACTGAAGCTGCTGTGTAGTTTTTAACATGGAGGTGAATATTTTTGCTGAATTCTGGAAAACCTTTATTACTGTTCAGTCTAGAAAGCCTCGATTAATGTAGTAAAGTTAGTATTGCATAAAATAAAAGCTGTATTAGTTCTGAGTCATTGATTTAGACTGTTGAACTTCTGTGTAGCTAAAACTCTTGCATTCTATTGATACAGTCTTGTGCTTATTCATGGTTGATACAAACATATGGCTGACATTCCATTTCTATGTGACATGAACAAATTTATGTAACTTGAGAAAATTTATGTTTAGACTTGGAATTCTGTACTGTCCAACATAAATAGCTTTGTAATGCCTTTCTCTTTTCTTTTTTCTTTTAGTTACGGCAACCTCCTGTTAAACGTTTGCGACTGAGAGGGGATTGGTCAGATACTGGACCAAGAGCAAGGCCTGAGAGTGAACGAGAAAGAGATGGTAAAGTGTTTGCAGTTGGAGTGGGGTTATTGTCTTTGCTCATGTGTTTTGTTTTGGTTGTTTTTTTGTTGGTGATTGGTTTGGTTTTGGTTTTATTTTCCAATTTTTCTTAAGCATTCCTGAAATATTTAAGTGCTTCAGATTAAACTGTCCATGTTTTAAGAATCAGCCAGGTGTTAAGATGGTTTTCTTAGAATTTAACACAGAACTGCTATTCTACAGTGACTTTTAAAAATGTCTAAATTGAAAATATTTTTACCAAAAAAATTATGTTGCTTCAGCTAGGCTGTTGTAAATCAAGGGGAGCTTACTTCATTGTTGTTGGTCATGTAATAACACAAATACGTATTTCCCTTTTTGTAGTCAAGCCTCATATGCAATCAAAGTCACAAATTAAGTGCTCTGCAACGGTTACATTAGGGGACTGGAATTCAAAGCAATAGGATTCTAATATTGCATCTTTCACTTGTTTTATAAAACACATGTAGTGACTAAATTTTTATGCTTATATTTTCATGTTTGTAATATATTACTGAATTACCTGAGGTTTCAGTAGATAGAACATTCACAAAGCTATGCTTTAGTGTCAGAAAATAGGATACCAAAGCAGGGCAGAGGATGCTTTGTCACTCATCTTACTCTTCATCTAATGGTGTGTTTCTATTTAAATCTGACAGGTTGTGGGCATACAAGTATTTGTTCTGGTTCCCTTAAATCTGTCTCCTTTTTCTGCCTACCATTTCCCGTTCCAGATTTTCTGTGTTGGTTTTCTTATCTTCCCGATTCCCCAAACTAGAATAGAAGTGTCTAGTTGTATCAGACTAATGGTCCATGTAGAGTAGGATTCTGTATCTGACACAGGCAATAGGAGATGCTGTTTAGGGAGCAAACATGAGGCTGTCCTCTTACCTTAATCTGTTGTCTTTGTTGCTCCCCCAGTACTCGGAATTACTAGATTAGAAACATTAGAGCATACCTTCCCATCCGTTCCTTTAGAATCTGTTTATGGTTCTATTGCCTGTGAATTTCTGTGATACTTTATTGAACCTGTTGATAATATTTCCTATGGCAAAAAATCCAGAAGTTCAGTGCCCACTGTGTAAAGAAATACTTTCCTTTCTTTTAAACTGCTCTCTCAGTTTTATCATGTGCCTTCTTATTCTAATATCACAGGATTTGGTTATGAACAAGTTTACATTCTGCTTGCTTGGTGCTTTCATTCCACAAACCTTATTTGTATACCCCCTGATATTAGGGGCATCTTGGCTATCATTTTTGTTGCAGGTTTTTCCCATAAAAATTAGTTGTGGCTTTACCTTTGCACAGAGTTACTTTTTATCTAAATTATTTTTCAGTGTCCTTCTAGCTGTGATTTCCCCATAATAGCAAGTAAATCTGGGGAGAAAAGAAAGCCTGAGAAAAGGACTCCTCCAGTATAGACATTGGCTAGATTTTTTTTTTTTCTCAAAACAAAGCTTCAGTATCTTTACTGTGCATTTTTTGATGCAACTCTATAGTGACTGAGAGAGAATAGCTGTATCGCATTAGTTAGGCATGTGGTGACCTGTGACCTATTTTTCTGTTAACTGTTCATTGTCCTCTCTTCCCATCATTAACCACCTTTTGTCTGTTTTCTTCAGCTGTTGCATTCCATTTTTTGTGCTTTAAGCTTCTGAGGTCAGAGCTCCTCTGCCTGGGGTACAGGAAGGCAATGAGGGATCCCAGGGGAGGGTCAGAGACCTGCAGTGTGGAAATGAGGATAGACAAGGGCATTGGGGTCAGATCAAGGGGCATTGTTTTTTGGGGGGGTGGGTTGGTGTGTTCGCCTTTCCTTCTCCGTTCCCAACAATGTCTTTTAAACTCAAGCAAATAATCTAAAAGCAAGGTCTAGAGATGATATATTCAAGCTATATCCTAGCAGTGAAGATTATATGCTGTCCTGAAAGATAATCAGTTGCTCCAGATATTTGATTAGTCTTTCAGTTTTTATAACACCTGTGCGGGTAGCAGCACTGATCTGTGAGAGGCATATTGTCACTGTGCAAGTTCTTCCCATGTACTCTCCAGAATCTTTCAGTGTTAGCTCTTGTATGCAGGGTGTTGCATATTATTCGCATAGGGTTTTTTCAATAAGTAATTGTACTTCACAGGGATTCTATTTCTTAAGGTCTTCAGTTACAAAACTTTTCCAAAAGTTGCTTAAACACCGCATACTTCCAAACTGGCTAGAGGACCAGCAGAAGTTCTTACTTCAGCCTGAGTGGGCTGGTCCAGTCCAGTGGAATGGTCTTCTATTGGAAGATGCCAATATGTTAAAAAAAACAAACCAAACAAACAACAATAAAAACAAACAAAAAAACCCAAAACACCCACCACATTTCACAGAATACAAAAACCACTTAAAGATTCCAATATTCTATTTGAGCCCTTTATAAATGGAATTTTTCCAATCTTCTCTCTTGAAACAAATTTTGTTTCATATGTAGTAAAACCAGAAATAAAATGAGAAGAAGATGTTTTGAGTTATGTTGAAAGAAAGTATGTTGAAGATTTTGCCGCTTGAGAGTCTTTGCAATCCTGACACTTGATACAAATGAAAAACCTTAAGAGAACTCTGCTGCTGTATTAAATTGTGCTTATGAGGAAAATGTAAGTCACGTAGAAGCGTTGTGGAAATGTTAAAAACATCGTGCTAATTTTTGCTAGTCTTTTTGCTCTTTCATTGTTTAATGATAAGATCGGCTATTTTATAATTATCTGGAAAAACATAAAAATCTAGACTTTCTTAACTTATTTAACCAGCATTTAAAACTGAATTACATAAATTTCACAATGTAGTGTGTACAAAAGCTCCAGGTAATTGTAAAACAGAAAAAGAGGAAGCAGTGTTGGCTTTTATGTGGTCCTGTGTTCACCTGCCAATTCTTGGTGGACTGTTGTGCTGAAAAAAGGAGATGGTTCAGGGGATTACTAGTTATGTAGCTTACAGTACAGAGTTCTTTTTATGGAAGAAGAAATGGGGGGGAAAATGAGCACTTTTGTAAACTGTTAGATAAAACTTTAGCATTACTTGTTTTACAGGGGAGCAAAGTCCTAATGTCTCTCTAATGCAGAGGATGTCAGACATGCTGTCAAGATGGTTTGAAGAAGCTAGTGAAGTTGCTCAAAGCAATCGAGGACGAGGAAGATCACGGTCCAGAGGTGATCTCCTTCTTTTCAAGAACAATAATTGTAACAGAAAGTATGTTTATATTGGATGTACAGGCCTTGAATATCAGCCTTCGAGGTGTAAACTAAAAAATTTTTAGTGTACTCCAAAGAACTGAGCACACTTGTTTGCTGTATGAATGGTAATGCAAAAGGGATCTTTAGAAATAGAGTAAGTTTAACTTTGGGCTCCTGTTTTTCATTTTGATCAAAGGTGGGACTAATCGGACAGATGCTCCTGCTACTAATAACGCGCCACCTAGTACAGAATCAGAAACTGCAATGGAAGTAGATGGTTCTGAACAACCTCCATCATCTTCCTCTTCTACAATGTCAGCCCAAGCTCCTTCAACATCATCTTCAACAGAAAGTCCCCCTTCAACTTCATTATTGTCCTCTCCTGATAATGAACAAAGGCCTTCTTTAGGGGCCTCAGCTCAACCTGTGCTCCATCAGTCTGGTGAGAAGAAATCCATCTTGTCATTGTTTATGAAAAATGCATTCAATAAGAAACAATTTTATTTTAGGGTATTTTGGGTAATTGATCTTAATCTGTTTTTTCTTGCACATCCTCAATGAGACTAGGTATTTAATAGTTACCAAGTGACTGCAGCTGTGGTTTAAAGAGAGAGTAAAACCATCAACTGTATATGTTTGTCTGAAGAAGGAATCTCAAAGGAGATAACCAGTATTGTCTTCTGAAGTAGAAATAAAAAAGTTACTTCTTGTTTTTTCTAAGCTTATCGTTCTCTTCATGGAGTATAAGTAACATCATGCCGCCTTCAACTGTGATTTGGCTATAGCAGCATCAGTGCAATGAATAGCAGATCCTATGCCTGTTGTAATCAGAGGAAGAAGAGAATGTCTCCTTCAGCAGGAAGCAACGTTATTTTTTTGCTTCTCAAAAGTATCTGGATAGACAGGGCTCACCTTGTGTGATATTCCATTCTTGGTTAATGAATTACACTACATACTGATTTTTAAGTTTGTATATCTTGAAGCAACTCATCTGTATTTAATACAGACTTACATTCTTATTGTGGGAAAAAGAAGAAAGTATATTCCACTGTCAATGTCAGAAACTACAGTTGGGTAGTAAAAGAGCACCTTCTGCTTTGGCTTGCCCTTTTCCATCTCTATGCAGGAAAAGATGCCACAGCCTTTAGAGTTAAATATTTGCACAAGAGTTTATTTTTGCCTTTTTAAAGTGAGTTTCTAGGCCTCACAGTTGTGATGGAAAGGCTGACATGATCTGAAATACCTACAGGTTCAGACTTGCTTATTTTAAAATCCCCTGTTTTTTGTATAAATGCACCTTTTGTCTTGTACCAATTCTGTTGTAAAAAATCAAGGTCTTTGTCATTGGAAAAGATGACTGATAGCATCTTCAGGCCCCGAATTGGATGTTCTGGAGTAAAGGAGAGATGGGTATTTCTTAGGGAAAAGTGTGCCATTCTGTGTATTGTGGCTGCTGCAGCCAAAATCTTTGGGATGGTTGAGGAATGATTAGGTATCTAAGAGACAGGGAAGCTAAAGACTTAAGTTGAAATGCATTAAATGTATCATTCTCGCCCTATCAAACCTTGCAACTAGTCTGATACTTACTTAGAGGAAATAAACAGTGAGCAGAAACATGATAATACATACAGTCCAGATACTATTTCTAGAATAAGTGAATGCTAGAAAATCTATTTATTAGCAGAGGCTTTTAGTTATCTATGGTTTTTATTAGTATTGGTGTCAGCTTGCTGCAATCTCAAGTTTTTCACAATACAAACAAAAGAAATTAGTTAAGGGGTCTACTCTAACTCAGTGTAACCCAATTTAGCTGCCAGCATCTTTGGTACAGAGGAATAACCACCAAAGCACACACATACCATTACCAACGGTTCGTTTTGATTTTTTTTTTTTAAGTGTATGGTATATTCTGGAACTTACACTGGCCAGGAGAGTATGTCCCATATTAAAAATAATTGCTTCAAGCTCTGTCATTGAAACTTTGTGGACTGGATAATGATAATGCACTAGAGAGCGTTTCTGGAATTATGATGCATTTTCTATCCTGCATTTTAAAGAATGCATGCTGACTAGAAAAAGTGTTTTTCTCGTTTTTCTATGAATTTGTCTGAATTTCTAAGTAAAAGTTTATTCTGCTAGCATGAATTTGAAGTTGTTATTTCTTAATTCAGCTCTTCTCCAAGAGCATTTCCTCTTTCCCAGTGTTACTTCGGGCTTAAGACTCTCCACATATTCAGTTTTGCAAGGGATAGTGGTGACTGTTTTGTTGACAGACAGTGATACTTTCTAATTTACTGTATAATGTGTGATAGGTTTTTTTGACTACACCTAAACAGGGTGTCAGATTGGCTGCTGATTCTTCAAAAAAATCCAAAAAAGTCACCATCACCCTACCCACCCACCCCCAAACCCACAGAAACAAACAAAACTTTAGCTGCTATGCTTTATTGCTGTATGCAAATTTTAGTGTTAGGACAAGGTATCATCTTTAAATTGTCTCTTGTGGGAGTAAACTTAATAGTACTATATGTTTGTACATCTAGTAAGCATCTTGTCTAGTTTGCACTGCTTTTAAAACACTTAAGTTACTGTAAAACTAGTCTTTGGGCAAGTTCAGGGAGAGAGGAAGCTCCTGGGCAGAGGGAAAAGGTCACAGCAGAGCAGTGGCAGTGGGTTTATGAATGGGTAGGCTTGAATGTGGATTTCCATTTTGCAATGTTTGTATGCTTATGTAACCCATGGTGGTGCTGAGTTATGAGATTTTATTTATTCTCAGTCTCTAGTCTATAAATGTGAAAACACTGCACTCCTTGTTGACAGGATTCCCCGAGTTTGTTTAGCTGCGCTTAGAGGTGAATAAAACCTGCTGCTTTTTGAGGTGACAGGATAGGGAAAGTGATAATAGGAATTAGTATTTTAAATACAATGGGGTTGAGTAGGAAGACGAGGTAGAGGTGTGTTGTAAAAGATGGATGACTGGGGAAATATTTTGGAAGTTGGAAGAATGAAAATGAGAGGTGTTCAGCCATCGTTTTGCATAAAGTGGTGGTGGATACAAGTTTTAATATTGTAGCAAAGAGTTAGCAAATGAAGAATATGTTTTCGGGTAATGACTTATTTAGAATTGGAGCATGAATTCATACTATGGAATGGAACAGGCTTATAAACAGCTTTCCCTAAATCATTTCTACAGATTTCTGTACTGATCACTACTGCTGGTAGTGATCCTGCCTTTGAAATAGCAATACCTTTGCAGATGTATTATAATTCAAATATATTGTTGGTCTGATGTTCCAGAAAATGCCATGTGGTGAGCATTTGAGCTTCTACATCTGAATTACTTCATCTCTTTTAAAAAATGTACATGTTCAAAATAGTCAGTACAAAAATGGTTCAGTGCTGGAGCTTGCTGGGATAAGTCTCTTTATCAGAATGTATATTCTAGAAGAATACAGTTGGAACATTTGAGTAAGTTGGAAATAATCAACAAGGTCAGTGCAAAATATCAGTAGCCTGTTCTTGTCAGTATATTTGAATAATGGTTTGTGGGGTTTTTTTATAATGAGACAGAACAATTGCTGGAGATTTTCATGCTTGTCACTAAGGGAAAAATTACAAATTTATTTTCTTGCCCTGCTTGGCCCGTTCAGTGGAAACCATTAATTCATTTTTTACATTAGTTTTAAGATGCTGTAATTTTAAACGCTGAATAAACATCAAATACAACAAACTGTGAAATATAATAATGCTTTTTCCCCATAAGTAATATTCCACATACGCATCAGTACCACTGGGATGAGAGTTAGGGTGGCAATTGACAAATTAAGGCAAAGCTTAATCTTAATATGTGTTCTGATATAGGGTAACCCTGCTTTTAAATTTTCAATGGGAAAGTGGCAATAGCTGTTTTTTTTCAATTTCCATTTCTATTTCCTCACTCCATTTGCTGGCAAAATAAACATTTGCTTAGAGATTTTGAAATGTGTTAAAACGTGTAGTCACTGAACATATTCAGGATAGTAGTTATCTCTTTACATTTTGAATTGTAGTTCTTGTTACTTCTTAAATTGTAACTGTCTCTGGGCTGAGTGGAACAGAATCAGCAGCAAGTACTGAAAGCTGCAATTTTAGACAACATTGAAATGAACTTAAAAGCATTTTCTAGACTGGTGTTCTCATTTCCGTAAATGTTCATGGCAGATGAAAAGTATTCATAGCAAATCTCTTTGATGCCATATTCCTTCTAGGAAGTATATCTTTTTCCTTCTTGTTAGACCTCATCAGCCATAAACTGGCAGGATATATTTCCCAGAAGTGATATTAGACTGAGGACATTAGAGCTCATGGCTATTTGATACTAACTGGTGCCTGCCACTAATTTTTGAATGATTGGATTCTGTCTTTGTGTTTGTTTCTTTTTATGAAAGAACTTCTAAAATTTGCTTGCTTCACTGAGTGAATAAGGGTTACAGAACATTTGTAAAGCTTTTGCTTGAATGAAAGTTTATATGCCAATGTAATGCTCCCTAGAATTTAACATTTCATAGTACTGAATTTTTTTTTCTTTGCAGATTTTCTCATATCTACAAAATATTCCAGAGTACCCTTGATATAAATACTTTCAGGATAGGTCTAGGCTAGCAGTTTATAGCAGAACTAACTAGAGCATCTGATGTGAATATGAGTCTAAATTAGCTTCTCTACCCTACTATATTATAGATGAGAGTAATTCAGTGGTTCATATCTATGTTGTGCTTCGGCTATTGCTAATAAAGACACACTCTGTGTTGTATAAAGAGAAGTAAGTGGATGAAATTTGCAAAGAGCATGGAAAGAATAAAAAACTGTTAATCAGGCAGTGGACTGGTATATGCCAAAATGGTATAACTGACAAATTAATAAATATTAAAATGATGAAAACTGTGAAGTCTCTAAAGATGGAACTGAAAGAATAGTTTGTTAAGAGAATGATACTAAGAATTGTTTATGATCCAATAAATTACTTTCTCTGTAGGACCACTTAATGTTTTCAGACTTTGAATTCTCACCCAATGGGAATGAGTTCATAGTAAAGTATATTTTTTGGTTAGATGCTGTTCTGCTACCTATTTCAGTAGTCCCAGTTTACTCTTCACAGGTTTGTTTTGATCAAAATTGTACCAATTTTTTTTTTACATCAGGAAGCTATCACATTCATTTTGAAAACTTACCTGTAGACCACAGTTGCATAATTTTATACCATGGATATTCTCATTTGTTATGTGTGCTAGGAACATGAAAATGAATACTTGTGTTGTTTGCTTGGCTTTGAATCAGTCAGGATCTATCTATTTAATTAAATAATTCTTTGTGAAATGCTTTAAGTGTTGGGAGATGGGGGGTAGGGAGGGATGTATTGTATGGCATGAATTCTGAACTTTTAAGTCCTGTGATTCATGCATT